CAATATGTGTTGTACTATGTACTACCTATATACTTCTATATGATGTACTATAAAATTGAATACATTATTTGTATAAATTTTATACTATAAAACAATATTATTATTATTATTATAACTAAGAGGAATAAATGTTTGCGAGGTTATCGATGTAGATTTCTAATAAACTGAAGCGATTAATAAAGATAATGAAAATGTAGGTATATACTGCGCGATAAGATTTTGGCAACTGTTTCTGATTAAACAGTTCGGTTAGGTAGATGTAGCTTAAAATATTTCCATAAACATAAGATTTACATTTACTCTTAAAAGCTAATTTGGTAAATTACATTAAATATTTATAAATCAAAAACTATTAATAAATGAAGAAAATATGTTTTAACGATTTTAATTTTTAAACACTATTTTAAATCAATTATTTTTATGTTATATTCCAATAGTGATTATTATAATATTTAAAAATCTATTTTTATTCAAATATGAAATAGGTAATTATAATAATAATAGAAACGTTTAAGTTTAAGAATTTTTAAGCTACTGTTATTTTTGACCAATTCGTGAAAATATAATACTATTAAACATATAAATATATAATTTAAAATTCATATGAATAAAATAAAAAGATTGTTAAAAATTAATTTTGATGATTAAATAATAATAAAAAAAATTGCACCATCATCGGTGTATAAGCTATACAAATCAGAACATACATTTGTCGTAGTGAGAATCTGTTGTTTAAGTAAATGAAAATTTTTATGAAAACTATATAATTATCTTCGGATAAGAAGATAAATGTTCGTAATAAATTGTCTATTAGAGAATTGTTTACGTTTTATTTTTTAATCCAATTGAAATTGTAATCACATATAAATATAATATAGCTATGTTACATCATAATATTTTGTTATAAACATAATTTTTTCATCAGTAATATTGTCAATATAGTATTAAAAATACATGTAGATATAATGTACAAATATCTGGTCAATAGTTTTTCGTAATATTTATATTATTATGTCTACATAATCATCGTATATAGATTTGTATAATGCGACCTAATATATAATATAGTGGATATGGGTATCAGAGACATTATATTATTTCCACTTTTTCATTGTTTATGTATTGCTTAAAAATATTCATTAATATTTAAAAAGGGATTGAACGAAAGAATATTATAAAGTGCACAAAAAACTTTTCTGAATCTTGCAGTTTTCTTTGTTTACATATTTAATGCTGAGTGAAGTGGTACAAATACTGAAATACATATTTAATGTTGTTATGAAAGTTAATATTTTAAAAACGTTTGAATTATGAAAATCACAATTAACAAAGTGGATAATAGAGAATTTTTGGTACTGACATTTAAAAATAAGTTACTAAGCACCAAATTATTTAGATAATGAAACATTAGTACACATGTTATTATAACATTTGTACTGCAGTGTTTTTGTGAATAAATCATGTTTACCAACGTCAAATATTTATACTAGATTTATACTAAAACTTGTTACATGTTATGTAATAATAATAATAATAATAATAATTATTATTATTATTATTATTATTATTATTATTATAAGCAGCAAGTAATGGCAGACTTAAATCTGAATTAATAGTTAAATTATATATTTATATATTTTTTTTATATTAGCAATCCCACCTTGATGGATTAAACTGTTCGTATTTTATTTCAACTAATGGTTTCAGTAGCGATTCATTTTATGGAATTTACTAGTAGAAATTTAATGAAAAAAGTTAAGAAATGGGGTACGAAATGATAAGCAAATACTTAAAAGGGGGAAAAAAGAAAGAAAACATTATATGGAAATAAAGCAAATAAATTATATAAGAAATTAATCATAAAAAAGGCACAAATAATGCTTTTATTTTCGACACCCTCTTATTGTTAGTACTTTTTTTCTTGGTCTTTTTGTTTTTCCTCCTTTTTGTATATTTTTGTACTTAATAGTTATTTATTTTGAAAACAGTTTAATTTTCCTTGTACGATTTGAATTATTTTATTACTTTGAATAATATTTTATCATTTTGCTTTATTAAGAAAACGGCGTATAGGTTGTTAGTCATTTTTTATTGATCTATGGTAAATATTTAATTATTAACTCATGCTAATAAAAAATAAACATTGTCTGCTTGGTTGAATAAAAATGTAAATAATTACCACAATAATATTAAAGTAATTAATAAAATAATAAAAATGTTATGATTGTTTTTGTATCAAAAAGTTAAAAAATGTGTGTAGGTACTAATTGAAAAACGAACTTTTGATATAGTTTGTCTTGTAAGTTTACAATTTTATAACGGTTTATAGTGTTTTTTAACTCAATTATTATAATTAATGTTATTAATTTTACAATATTAGGTATACATTTTTAGTAAATGATGATAATTTTATTTCTTGTATACATAATAGAATATATTGTAATTTCAATACGAATTATGTGCAGAATAAATATGTAATTTTTATGATAAGCCTGGATATTATTTTATAATCATTAATTCAAGATCAAAACGTTTAAAATTTAATGTAGCAAACATCATAAGAAAAATGTTTTTATTTTTTTTCTAAGAGTTTTCTTATCTTTTCAAAAAAGAACATTTACTCTTAGGAGAACCAATATATGGTATGGTACATACTATGTAGGTTATATGTCAATATATAATAATTGAGTTAATATTTTGCCCATTGTATGAAATTGAAAGGCGAAAATATTGTCTATTGTAATGTGGCGTCGAATTTTTTAGAGATTAATTGTATGTATAATGTATATATTTATTATATAATATGATGCAATATATATATAGTAATGCGGACCTCAGTGTTGGTCTTAAGAAAATTAAATTTACTTTATGGCTAGTATGATAAAAGTAGAGAATAATACTGTTTTATTCTCTTAAGTCGCAAGATGTTCTCAAAGTCTTAGAAAACTCGTACTGTCTAAGATACAGTTCATTATTTAATAAATATATTATTATATATTATACGGCAATAAACTGAAAACTGTATAATCTATAAGTGCCAACATGAAGTACTACACGTTACTTTAATGCATAATATTCACACATTCACTTAAAAGAACACATTTCGTCAGTTTTTCATTATTATTAGTAGTAACATAAACGAAAAAATAAAAGTCCAGTTAATGCATTGTACCTATATTTATTTGTTTTTTAAACGATATTTCAGTCACCCCCATACAGCATATATTATGTTGTTTTTATATATATATATACGTGTGCGATTTGGTATGGTATATTTTTATTATAACGTTGATGACGACAAATTTATATCGCACATAAAAAGTTCTGTACAATAATATAATGTGGTAATGTAACGGCGGCTACGGTTGCATTCAGTGGGTAAAACGGGGTGAAATACGAGAGATGGAAAAAATGTGTTTAATTTAAAACAATAAAACGGGTCACTCAATTCGCAGGACCCTACCCTCTCCTAACTAGTCGTTTCCAACGTACGTGATGTATCTAGAACACTTGGCAATATTATCTAAACTATTCATATACGCATATGTATATAATATTATGACCATGGTTTAATGACTCACTCGACACTATATTTAGTACATATTATATGTACACGCACACATACACGTCATGGTGAATATTGTTTCGCTCCACAAAACGAATTCACATCCCCACCGTTATCACCAAACTTCAATTGCCACCCCTCTTCCGTATATTATCACTAACTTTTTCTGGTGGGCTGGTGTACTCGGCCTAAAGTTTTAACGTTGTAGTTATACAACTTCCGTCAAGCGTATACTCCCACGATTTCTCCCATTTCCAATAAACCGCATCACAAGTCCATATATTATATGTATACACACACACAAACATGTGCATACTCAAACGTACACATCTTTACACGCTTGTACATCGTCACAATATTACTATAATAACGAGAAACTTTTACCAACCGCTGCAGCTTAAAACGGAAATGCTGTCAAATAGATGATGACAATTACAAATATATTTTAGTCATGTCTTAAAAATTACCAAAATATAACCATAAAATATGCTTTTTATAAAAAAATTGTATTTCAGTATAGTAATAGTTTGATATTCAAAAACAAAAGTTTTATACGAAATGATATTTTTAAATAAAGTTAAATTTAATTATTCAAATAAATAAAACCAAGGAAGTAACTCTTCAGTTAATAGGTTTCGAGTATATCTCATCGCCAATGAGAAGGTCATTATAATATTATTTTATAAATATGAATTTAATGATAAGTCATTGCTTATTTTTACAAAAAATATTTTATGATTTATTTATATCACTATTGTTGATAAAGCAGTAATTAATTTTTTTGAGCCAAAACGAATTGTATAGATTTAATATATTGTTATAAGTTATAATATTTCCAAGTTTTTTTATTTAAAGAAATTTAAATGTCTATTTATAGTACTGAATATTAAAAAAATTAAAAGACGTTTAGCAATTGCTAATATTTGTTCGGTGAGTATTTTATGCTTATATACGGTTATTCAATTTTTGAATAACTACATAAAAAAAAAAAAATTGATTTTCTAAAAAATGGTAAATAATCTTTTAATAATTTTACTTTTCTTTGATTTGACGACGAAGCACATTAATCGATTTTTTTTTTTTTTTAGTAGATAACTTAGTTTCAAAACAATATATATATCTTTTATTGTTGTTTCCTTATTCACATGACCATTCAATTTTATTTTTATAGATCTCCCGTCTCAAATATACAGTCATCTCGATAAAGAACTTTTAAGATTATTTTTGACTTAAGTCATCGTATTACATAGCTCATAAGATTATAATAAACAAGTATTATTATATTTTCTTCAGATAATGTACTATTGTAAATGATATGTAAATAATCAACTACCGAGCTAGAATATTCGTCAATTTAAGTACCCGCAACTACCGTCGCGATATGAGTGAAAATTGGATTAAAAATAATTTAAATTTTTTGTTTTATTTTGTATAGAAACGTCAATGCCAAGATTTGCCGAATCCATACCAAACGTCACGGTCAGCATTGGCAGAGACGCACTGTTGGGGTGTGTGGTAGACAACCTACGTGGATTCAAGGTAAAAAAATCGAAACGCTATTATTTCGTTTATATACAGTTAATTTAAGATGTATCATAATATTCTCCGGAGTAGTCTTTTGTCCCGGGCTATAGCCTATAGTAGTATCCGCAGACATGTTTTTCTCTTTTAAATAACAAATAATATAATTCTTACTAACGGTACATTACGGCCACTTAAATAACCCCAAAACAGGCGACTTTAGGCCATTAAATAACCTTGGTCAACAAAGGAAAAGTTTTAATTGGGTTTAAAATAAAAGTCTGAAATAATTTCATCTATTCGCTATAATTTTCTGGGAAATGGCTGGGTTTAAACCGAGAAAAAAAGTTAAATAATGAAAATTTAGTATTTTAATAATCACTAATTAATACAAGTGGACATTTTTATACTATAAATTATTAATAGTTACCATTTATTTTTATTAATATAAAAATAAACATTTATTATAGGAAAGGAAGTATTGTTGTCTAAAAGTATAACAAATTGAATGAAGAAATTTTAAAATTTTTTTCTAAATTTCATATTATTTTAAAGGTAAAATAGTCGTATATTTAATTATTTCAAGTTATTAAATCAAAATTCTTTTATGTAATATTATAAAAGTAAAGTTTAAAAAATGAATATAAAGTAGATATAAAAAAAATTGATGTTTTGTATTTTAAATTAAGTTTATTCTATAGTTTTAAAATTGAAATGGTCCGTGTTTTAATCCAAAAAGTTCTATTAGGTGTAGATTATAAAAAAATATTAATTTTTATAATATAAGCAAATTAAACTAAAAGAAACTATTATTACACTTATATTGTAAATACTGTAGAAAATAATAAAAATAAAATAAATTCAATTTTTTAATAAAAATATTAAGTATCTATGGTACCTATTTCTAGATTATTTCATGCACGATAGCATTTTATAGTAAAATAAAAAAAATATAAACGGTCACCTTTCATTAATACTGTTTTTATCATTAGTTATGTTAATAAAATGTTATTCTATACTAGTTAAACTATAAGATAATTAATTATTTTAGGTGAGTAAGTTATAGTTAAATATGTTTTTTAATTATTTTTTGTTAACTGAATTGTTAAAAAAAAAAAACATTTAAAAATATACTACGTATTTTTTTCCTAAAATTACTTTAATACACAATACTACAAAACAAAATATTTCTAAAATAAAATTCGTGATATACTCCAATAAGTAACCATGAAGCACGAATGCACTAGATGAGTTTTGAATATTTGAACGCGATATGCTTTATATTAATAATAATTATAATTTAGCAATTAATCCATACATAATATTAATACGCTATGATATATGTTGATTTTACAATTGACAAAAACTAAAAAAATGTAATATACAAAAATTACAATTTTTATTGTATTTTGAATCCAATCACATAATATATGTAAAAAAAAATAATATTATAACATCTCATAGTCATTTGTGAGTATGATTATTCCTATCATTATATATTTATTTTACACTACCTATATAATGATTGTTAGTCTGTGATTTCTTATTGTGAACATTGAGTTAATCAAGTCTAATCAAATATTATATACCTACGATTCAACGTACAAAGGCTTACAACTTTAGACACAGTGGTCAATCACGAGCGGGTCTAATCAGCAATAGTGGGTTTTAATACATATTATTATTATACAGAAACAGCTGGGTGTGGATAACTGGCCAATCAAGCTATCATACATACGTATATTATATTAAATTGTGGTTATTATTAACTATGTATTATATAATGATAATCCATAACACAGTTGGTCGTTAATTCACATGGTATTGAGTGCGGTTACAGTGTAGTTTGATCTCGACGATCTACGCGCACGACATAACATAAATAAATAATATTATAATAGTTCGTAATAATCGCTTATCGAGAGAATGTTAAATATATTAATGTTACAATAATGTATTGCACATAACCGAATGACAACATAAAAATTAACGTTAAATATACAAAATAGAGTGGAGGCTCTAATTTTAACGATCGGGTTGAGCAGCATCAAATATCTTTATCAAATCTAATGCATTTTTGATTTCCTGTGACGGTGTTATATATAAGTTAGACAAAAGTCAAAAACTCGATAAAATAAATTGTAGTTGTATAATAAGTAAGAAGATATATATCTAAAACTGGATGATTTTTTTTTAATATTATTTTTATAGTGTCATTTTTTCTTTTTTTTATTACCACTATTTGTTTGGATAAAAGAAATGATCCAAAAATGTAATATATAAATTATTTATGTAGATATGAGATAGAACATATTATTTATATTGATAGTACTTCATAGAAGTAATTTTTGGAATTCCTACTGCAATTTTCCAAAAAGTTTCAAAAAAAAAAAAAAAATAAAAAAATAAAAAATAAACTGAAAACTTGCTGGCGTATATGAAAGGAAAACGGCCAGTAATAGAGGCGAAAACTTAATGTATTAAATTACAACTTTTTAATGACTTGATATTTTGTCAGTTATTTATTTTATTACATTTTAATAGTTTCTTAAGGGTTGATATTAAAAAAAAAAAATTGTTTTCCTCTATCATGTTCAAACTATTATTATAAAATCTTTAAAATATGTTTTCTCATGATTAATTGTATAGCTGAATTAAGAACATCCTACATATATATAACGCTATAGAAATTCGAGCTTCACTAAGAATAATTGATTTTTGAATATAATAATTTTTTATTATTTTTTTCAAATGTAAACAAACAACAAACGTACTTAGTTATTCAGGTGAGTGAAACTATTCAATAGTGTTCAAAGATATATGTGTAAAGTACCTATACATTTTTTAAGTACAGAAATAACTGTTCTGTAAGTTGTTTGTGAGAAATTAATAATAGTAATCGTATTATAATAAAGAGTTAATAAATATATATATAAATTACTCCCCTATCATGTTATATTACAAATAATTTTATTGTAGTATCGTAAATTAGGCATTATTGGTGCACCTTTTGTACACCTCATAATAATCATTGCGATTCTGAGGATCGGAAAATACTTGAATTTACAACATACACGAACCATTTTATAATAATCTTGTATTGTATTCTATTAAAAATTCTAAACATTTTGTTTATTTTTTTTTTTTTTTTAGGTCGCATGGGTCAGGGTAGATACTCAGACAATTTTATCCATTCACCACAACGTTATTACCCAAAATCCTAGGGTAACGCTTTCTTACAACGATCACCGTTCGTGGTATTTACATATTAGAGACGTGCATGAAGAAGATCGGGGATGGTACATGTGCCAAGTGAACACGGATCCGATGAGAAGTCGACAAGGGTACTTGCAAGTGGTCGGTGAGTACATGACCTATTTTTAACCTCATTTGTTCGTGTATTGTGTTTCGATTCGATAACTGTGTTTTATTAAAATTTATAAAACACATACAAAGTAAAACAGATCCTATCTATATTAATTAATGTTAATTTTTTAATTTTTTTTTTTTTTTTTTTTAACTTGGAAGTTTAAAATTTACTTGAATTAATTGAGTTTGTTAAATTAAGAAATTTTTTAAGGATCTATGAAGTAGTATAAAAAGTAGATAATTAGTTCAAAATATAATACAAAACTAACTAGCGTAATATCATCCTAATCTATGCATAACTTTTTATTGGATAATGTATTTAATTATTATAATGATATTTATGTCATATTATAAGAAAATTTATAATCCGAAATTTAGTTTTATCTTTCTATAAATATCGTAAAACAGCAAACATAGATTCATAATATAAATAGATATTACATTGAAATAAATAAAAAATGTCATTACTTACGGTAAAATTCAAAACAATATAATATACTTAAAAGTTTAAGTCTCTACAAATAATGTTTTTAAATTAAAACAATAATTATCATGGTTAATTATTGTTTAAATAAGTGATTTCATCCATATTTGAACTTGAAAATTGTCTATAGGTTTTAAAGATTTTATGGTTTCAACTTTTAGTACAAACTATGAATAATCTCGTATTACATTTTCAAAAATTTGTGTATAGAAAATTATAAAGAACATAATAATTTAAATACTTGGAGACAATTTTAAGTTTTTTGGTTATTTGTTTTTGAATTATGACAAAATAAACAAATCAATTTAATCAAAATTTAGTTTAGCGTATTAATTTCTGTTTTCCTTAATTTTTTGTTTGTTTTTCTCTATTATATAAAAGGAATTGAGCATTTTTAATTTAGATCCTTTAAAAGTATAAACTAGATCCAATTTGTTATCAAAACCATCTTCATATTATGTTATTATACTAAGATTCGCTATAGAAATATCAATCATGTTTAAAAGTAAACCGAACAGTGTATAATAATAATTTTATTATTATAATGTAGTTTGTAATTTCAACAATTAAATTATAAAATATGTCTAAGAAATACATAAATGTCACACTACATACAACTATCATACTATAGCCAGAATTGGTAGAGTGAAGTTTAAATTCAGACTTGGTAATTAAAATTCGTTCAGTTTATTTTTTTTTTGCAGTTAAAACATTTGAGGGGGGGGGGAGTGAATATCAAATAGATTATAGTAGCCAACTAAAAATGATAAATGCTTTCAAAAAGTTAACATTTTTCTTTCATCAATCAAAACAAAATGTAAAAATTTTAATTTTTGTATGAATTAAAAACGCAATGACCGAAGAGATGTGATTAATATTAAATTTATTGTTTGGAATCTCAGATATATTGTATATATTTTATTGTTTAAGCGATTGTATATTTTATATGTATATACGTTGTGATTAAAGACAAAGTGTTATCAGACTGCTTTTTTATTAACTTATTTGTTATATTGGGCTTAGATTAAAGTTAGTTGTATGTCATCGATTATTATCGTGATTGTATGTATAATAGTAGTATTAAACCATAATATTATTGTTTCCTTAGTCTTAACACGACATAGTTTAAGACATGTCTTTTTATATAGTATATATTATATATTCTGTATCAATAAATAATAGCATAATTGATTATCTCATGTATAATACCCAATCAATATTTATATTAAATAAAATAGTTACTTATATCATTATTATTATTATTATTACAGCCTAGGAAAATAATTACTGATTTTACTCGTAAGCGATCTTTTAGTTATCTATATCTAATTAGATGATCAATTTAACGTAATATATTCATTGTTTCAAGAACAATTAATTTTTTTTAAATAATTTTTAGTCTTGATGAAATACATTTTTCATAAATGATTCATTTAATATTTTTTTTTACTATTTAATCAATGTTATTATATTTTAAATTGTTAATTTTTTTTCAATGACAACGTGCATGTTTTATTTTTTATCCAGAATATTTTTAGACTTTTAGAGTACTTCGATTCATAATAATTGAATTTGGATGAATGGTTTATAAGTTTGGCACAAGGGTACTAAGCTAAATGTTAATCTGCTCATTTAAACTTAAATACTTATAATATATGTCCGAAACACTCTGAATAATATTTTGTTTCGGAATATGAAATTAAAAATATATTTGTTGTCATTTAAAAGATTAAAAATCTTAAAATATAAAAATTATGGAAAATATCATTGTTTTCCAAAAATATTATTTTGTAGCATCTTTAAATTATGTAAAAAAAATATTTTTAAAAGCTTCAGTAATTTTTGAAAAGAATGAATACTGTTTAACGTTTAATGGATTATTCCATATAATATACTGGTTACTGACATGTGTTAAATTCTAAATAATATATTATAATAAGTAAAATACACAAATTCGGCTATAGCCGATTAAATATTATCGATTAACTATATTAAACTATTATAGCTTACAGTTGAGATGGTGTATTATATAAATATAACTAGGTATATATATATATGTGTGTGTGTGTGTGTGTGTGTGTATGTATAGTATCATACTATTATTACAGCTATTACACGACAAAAATCAAAATACACGCAAAACGATAATAGTGATTGCCTATTAATAAGTAAAAAATTTAAGTTTAATTTTTTTAATTTTTTGTTTTCAAGTACCCCCAAGCATCATAGACAGGGAGACAAGCTCAGACATGATGGTGCGCGAAGCCAGTAATGCCACTTTAATATGCAAAGCTACCGGATATCCAGAACCGTATGTAATGTGGCGGAGGGAGGACGGCCACGATATTAATTACAATGGAGATACAGGTAAGCAAAGCACGTGATACCGTATAATAATAATGATATGACGATACCGATGTAGTTATGATAACGAGGGTGTATAGTGTATATACAATGAATATATATATTAAGCGGGCAATAATAAGAAGGGTTGGTATGGGTGGGAGGTACCAAGCCGGTCGAGTAGGAATAATAATTACTAAACCACTAATGCTTCGATACGACGGATTCACCGCGACGGACAACCGTGCTGTAAATGTATATTAAACGTCCATGATGGAAACTATTATAAAACATGCATACAAACATTCTAATATTTATATTATAAATCAAATTGATTCTTTTATAAAAGGGCAATTGTTATTTTAATAACAATAATTAACGTTTTAAAAAATATTTTTTTACATAATTTCGGGTAATTCATTATTGAAAATAAATTATTTTTCATTTTATATTGCGAGGCAAACTATAATTCGGAGTATTCTTGGTGTATAAAAATCGAATTTCAGAAGATTATTTATTAAGCTATAAAACACTTTTAAAGTTAAACTTAAAAATTTTAAAAAGTTCAATGTTTTTAAAATAATGTGATTTCCAATAAAAAATTCATTCGATTATAACAGTGTGCGCATACCGCTTATAATTTTGTAAACTGGCAATATGAATGCGTATCATAACGTTATATAATATTATTAAATTATTATCTGTGTTATCACCTACCTGTTTATCACATGTGATTGTCTCGCAGTAATGGCGAAATTAACCGATTTGGATTTATCTTTCATTTCAACTGATCTGGTCTGTATAATGTACAACGCCGATTAAAATTACCGTGACGGGTTACACTGCAATAGAATAATAATATTATAAATTATATTATTCGACTGTCGGAAATGTTTTAAACGCGACTGTATGACCGATTGTTTTAAAGTTACTTGTACGCACGTCACTTTCGTTAACATTTGAGCTAAACTCGTTTTTTGTAATATTATGTGTGTGTGTGTATGTAAATATGATGAAATTCAAGGTTTTATATAATATACATTGTACAGAGTGAACTATATATTATACAATATACATATATATACATGCACGCCCTAACTATTATATTACACAAGCTAGCGATTGAGGTAGGGATAATGATCGCGTTCGCCATTTCTTTCTTTCGTGATTTAATTACAGGTGATTTGCTCGTGCACATTTTTCTTCATCGCGCGATTAAAGCAAAACATATTGTTTTAACTATTAGGTATGTTTTTTTTTTACAGTGTGCACTTCATAATGCGTATACAATATAATAAGCTTAACTACGCGATATGACTATAGTCGTCTTATTACGTAATTTCAATTATTTATTGCAACCGATTATTCTCTGCAAACCCGAACTTTTTTTTTTTTTTATTATTATAAACAAATAAATGTATTTACAATCTGTAATATAATAAAACAATAAGTAAATTTGAGATTTTTTTTTTACAAGATTTGGAGGCTTGAGTGAAGGGTGCGTCCATTGACACTACTTCAAACTGATTTATTTATTATTATTTTTATTTTATTATTTAGCGAAGTAAATCACGAGACCAATTTCGTTTTAGTCGATGGGGAGGGTTATCCAGGAGAGTCTTAGAGGATAGGTTTGAAATTAGCGGGTTTGGATGATTATTTGTTTTAGAATGGAATTTTTTATAGTGAGTTAAGGCGAGGGTGTGAAGAGTTGGGATGTTCAGGTCTTTATGGATTGTACGATTGCTAACATATCAAGGAGCATTTGTCAGAAGACGGAGACTAATCGGCTGAAAGGATTGGAGAAGATTTAGGTTTGAGTTTTTGGTAGAGCCCCAGATTTGAATACCGTATGTCAATGCAGGACGAATTAATTGTTAGTATACAAGAGTTTTGTCACTAAGTAATATTTTTGAACGAAGAAGTTGACGAAGTTTATGTACTTTTAGTTTCATTGATTTTCTTTTGGTTTTGATGTGAGTGGCCCATGTTAATCTTTGGTCTAGATGAATACCTAGATATTTTACTGAACTTTTTCTAGGGATAGTTTCGTTATTAAGAGTAACCGAGGGGCTGTTATTTGGTCTAAGTGTAAATGTGATATGTGATGATTTGTTTTTGTTTATAAACCCGAACTTATAATAATTATAATACAATAAGGAGTAGGTATGTAATACACGAAAGTCATCACTAGCTTAACACTAATAAAATAATAATAATAAACTTTTTTTGTTTTTCTTGTGCGCTTTGGTATTGTTTTGCTACCGAATTACTATAAAAGTAAAATATACATATGCATGCATTGTGTTGGTGCGTGTAATCGCGTGCATGAGATACCTCTTATAAAAAGTTATAATCCTACTATATGCATTAGTATAATATACAAAGGTATAGAAGTGGTTTGTAAGTTTCGGTGTAACCTATAATATGTGCGCACGTTAAAAATATTTAAATTTATGTACGGAATTTAGTGGATTATACTTTCAAGGGTTAAAACTTTTGTTATTATACATTATTGGTGGTGTTGGTGGTGTCGGCGGTAGTGGTGTTGGTAGAGGTAGTGGTGTCGGCGATAGCTAGTGATGTCGAAAATTTAATTTACCACTGTACTATTATTTTTTCTTTTCAAATTAAGATTTAACACTATAATGTTGTTGTTGTTGTTGATGCTGATAATTTTAATGTCGAAGAAAAATGATAGCAATACATTGATTGAAAACGAGTTTTCAAGTATTATAATAAAATAATATATTTCTCTGGTATATTTTTTTGTAATAAGTATAAATATATATTATAAAACTTTAATTACATATTCTTGAGATAAAGATAATAATATTATCATTTTTTTTTTTTTTTATGAATTATAATATAGCAATTCTATTATGATTGTTTGTTTTTTATGGTATAAATTTATTTTGATAGATGGTTGAATGTGAGATATGGCAGTATAGTTATGTAAGAATGTAATTTGCCACTATACTATTATTTTTTCACACTAAGATTTAATATAATGTTGTTGATCATTTTAATCTCGGGATAAGAAAATTAAAACACATTTACTGGCAAAGAGTCTTAGAGTAATAAATAAATATATATATATATATATATACTATAATTTAATCATATATTTTTCTAGTAGACTTTTTAATAGGTATTGAAAACGTATTGCGACACATTTTTGGTAAACTTTAATCACTCATTTTGGAGATGATGATAATATTATCATTGTTTTTATAAATTATATAGAGATATGTGTTAAAATTTTTTTGATTTTTATAATGTGAATTGATCGATGTTTAAACGTAAATTACGGTAGTGATGATTTGTTTTCTGAGTAATTTAATTATATTGATTTGATTTCATATTGTTAACAATAAAATAAATTACTGCATTATATATTTTATCAATTTGTTGTTTTTTTTTGTTTTTTTTGAAGGAAAAAGTATGTTTGAAAAATTGAATTATGTTGGCAATAAATTGTATAAAAAAACTTTTAAGAAAAAATCTTTTTACGAAATTAAAAAAAAAGTATTTAGAACCCAATTGTTGCCAAAAAGAAAGTTGTTTTGATTTATTAACTACTTGAATTTGTATAAATAAAAATAAATAACAATTTAATTACATTTATCTTAACTTAAACATATCTAATTTGTTATTTATAATTAGACTGATTTAATATAATTAAATTTAGTATTTTTTAAATTAATGTGTAGTAATATAATTTTAAGTAAATAAATTCTTTGACTAAATTTAATTTGAAAATATTAAATAATTATGGATATTTTTAGATATATTAGACGTTTTGTATATATATTTTTTCAATAATTATTGGGTTATAATAGACAAAATATATTTCTTAAATTTTTCCCAAATAAATCTGTAGTTAAATATAAATTAACTGTCATAAAATGTAATAATTTAGTATTATGGTTCGCAATTAATTAAAATACAGACCGAAATCTAAATATTTAGTCGTCTTATAATGATATATAATATGATTAATATACAATAGTTTTAATTTATACCATATGTTTGTATTTATATTATCTAATACTTATTTCCGAGACAGCAATTATTTATTTCGGTTAAGTTAAATATGTTCTGATATTAAAACTTTGCAGTTTATTTCGCTACTTGTTTAATTAAATTCATACTTAAATTGCGAGAAAAAGAGAATGAGTTTAACGCTAACTTCAAATAAAGACGTTACGAATTATTAGTTGTAACATGTTGGAATGTGTACTCACGTGACCCATTATTTTCACGTCAACCGTATTTGCATTTTTGTGTTAACTGTTAAAGGAGTAAATATATTGTTGTGACTACTTTACAAGTACGTACATTTGGGAATTTTCTCTGTCGAAATTGTCTATTCAAAAACGATTTTTCACTTAGTTTGTTTATACCAAAAACAGATTTAGTATTTAATTATTCAATTTTTAAAAGAGCTGACGGACAAGCATTGTAATAAAACTGTTAAAATTAATTTTATCAACCATAATTGAAAAATTATTGTATATTAAATCAATCACAGTTTCACACGTGCATATAACTAATTAATTCATGTATACTAGTATAAGCAATAAACTGAATCAACTATGTTGGTATGTATTTGTTAATACTGATAATAATAAATTTGATATGTAATAAATGGCTAACCAAATATCGATAAAGTTAATTAAAATATAAGTAACAAAAAAAAAAAAAAAAAAACGATGCACTATAAATTTAAACCATATTGCAGTTTAGGTATAATTTTTTTTTCAATTTGGGTCAGTGGAACAAAATTCTAAATTAAATTTCTTGTCAAACGATCACAAAAATATGCAGTTTGTTTTGAAGTAAATAAAAACTTTGTCTATATTTTTGGTAGAAAATCACAATCACCAGATTTTAATAATATTATTAAATTGTATGTATTGGAACCAATTCGAACAGTTATATAATGATAAGTAATTTTTATCGGAAACCAATCCCGTTTTTCTCATTACAAGATTGATTTACGAAACGATAGTAAGTAATGC